TACTAAGCCTGACTTGATCGGTTCACGCCAAGCTACAAGCGCTTTCACTAATCAAAAAAATTACATGAGTTGCTTTTCTGTAAGCCTCTAAATCTGCATAAAGCATTATAATTAAAATATCGAAAATATTAATTGGACTAGATCGAGACTGTCGAATATACAATAAAAGTATGAACCACAGTCTGACGCCTCGTATCAATATTAATATAAACCAGATGCGACCTAAATCGATTCCATGCAATTTCAAACTAAAGCGAAGACAAAGTAAAATTTTTTTGGCATAAATTAAATGTGCAATGGTCAAAGAATATAGGAAGAGTAATACGATTTATGATCGGAAGCAAATAAATCAAGATCGGCATGCCGCTGACAGTATAAAAAGACGCGAAAATATAAGAAACCTGAGAAAAAAAAGATACCTAAACGAAGATCAGCATATATGTGCAAGATCGTAATTTATAAGACGTTTAAAAAAGTAAAATCAAACTCTGAATAAAAATATATTCAGGCGGTACCTTACTAAACAAATATTGCGCATATATGCCTTACGATGAGTCAGTTAAAATTCAGCAAATATGGCCGGCTTAAATACATATACCACCACAATAGATATACCTATTATAAATTATAGGAACATTGAAAAATAGCTAAGTAAAATAAATTTAACTAACATTCTTGCTTGATCTCACACATGTCGACCGGAAAGGCAGGTGGTACAGAATGAACCGCACGAAGGGATGTCAAAGGACGTGATATAGGAAAATCACACATGTTGGCGCTTAAGACCAAAAAAAAACATTCTAAAGATATAGGAAAATTTACTGATTAAAAAAATATTATATATCTTACTAAAGTGTCATTTATATCTTGCGGATAAAGAACAAGTAAAATTTAAAATTAATATACACAATTTATGCAAATATTATCTGGCCGTCACCTATATATTTATTATTTTGGCATTACTTGGCTGGCGCTGAACCTGATTCTTTTCTGCTTCCCGGCCTGCTGCTCCATCAGGTCAAATGACGGAGAGGCAAATAAGAGATGTCATCCATAAAATTTTAGTGGCCTCTGGTGAAGAAGAAAATATCTCGCAAAGCGTTATATCCCTACTTTATTCACATCTTCAAGCCACATGCCGATTGTGGACAGAAAGCCTTTTAGCAGATCAGGACTTCGACTCTACAAATTTCTCACTTGCTACCCTTGTGGGCCTATTTAAAAAAGACCGGGTAAAGTTAATAAGAATGGCTCGGTACCTGCAAATTCTGGCCGATCGTTCAGATGCAAATAATTTCCTAGACGACGGCTCCTTAAGTGGGGAGAGTAAGATAGACTTTGACAACTCATCAGTTTCCGGTACTCAAGAAGTAGAAGGTAGCCAAAATCTTTCCAGGAAACAGGAATTTCTCGATATCTGTCATCGAGTTGGCGTTGATCCGCCTATTTCAGGCATTAATTATTGTTGCTTTGACATTTTGCGTCAGTTGCCCAACGAATTGGCTGTTGGATTTCGCTATAGGCTCCTACGAACCGACCATAAATGTAAACGTATGAGTCCAGGCGATTACTTATCCTTTGCTCGCTTACGCCAATCTGCGAGTCTCCTTTGCCTGTCCAAACGCTTTCGTGCAGATGTCTTGGCTTGGATATTCTCGTCCGCACCAGATAATATAAGACTAAACATCAGTCGTTTTATGCATAGCCACATTTTTTCACTTATCTTGTATAGTCTCACAAGCGTTGTGTATGACGCAATAGACGCTTCCCTTGCCAACCGGCACCGCTACCACATACCTCTTCTCTCCCCACTAACTCCCATTGAACTAAAACAAGCAACTCTCAAAGCATTGTAAATCGGCAGTCACCTTAAGTTAGGTTTTGGCGCTTCTAGCTCATGAATCTAAACTATGGGAATGTAAATACCGGTGTAGAGCGGGCCGTATTCCTGCTATCCCATCCGAATTTCTGAATAAAAGTATCTTTGCAAATATTCTTTTTATTTACCTTTGGATTTGCGAAATTTTGACCGATTAACTCTTCTAATTAATTAATTACTTTTATTAGAGATAAAGCACTTCACATGATACTCTGCTCATAACCTCCAATTTACCCTCTGTGACTATCCACTTAATTTATATACTCCAATCTATTGAGTGAACCAAACGAATTCTATCACAGGCAACCACATTATATTCTTAGGACTGTGAATAGTCTTGTTTCTTGGTATCCATTCTGATACCCTATCTAGCAAATAGTAGACACTATTCTATAGTCCACCCAGTGGATTTAACATTTATTATGTAACTATTGTTGATTTACCAATTGGTTTATTATGCATACTCGAGTACAGGAACGGCTGCTGACTACCCTTCGGTGGTATTGTATTCGCTCTGTTTCTCACTGCATTTATTCTTCCACTTGTACCCAGTAACTTAAGTATTGGTAATATTCCAGCATAGGAGAGAATAAATCACTTATTGCGCAGGACAGTGTACTATTCACCTTAGGCAATTTGAATTAATCATCTTTCTAGGTCGGCTGATGGCTATGTTCCATACGATGTTGAGTAGGGAGCTACAGGCAAAAATTCAGACCTGTGCTTCTGTTGTAACTCGGAAATTGTGTTCCTTTCCTTTACCCGTCAACAAGTTTAAAGGATTTAAAGGTCCACGTAGCCACTGTAGGAGAAGTCTGTTTAATTGAGTTACTAATGACGCCTTTTTGCACAGCTTTTGCTCTCATCGATATCGTGGTGGGCTTCCATTCTCGAATACCGATTGCCTCTAAAAGGAGTATCTACATGTATTCGAGCCAGGCCTACCCCTCTCTGTCGGTTGTCTTTTCTTCGTCTGGTCGTCGATTATTCTCCAATCGTTGCAGTTCACAATTTACTCTCCGGAAATGCAACCGATTAACCGGATTTATTCAACCTAGAAGCAAAAATGTTTTACTATCTAGTCTTGGATATCTCTCCATCTTTCCATCTATTCGCAGATGTCATAGTACAGCTGCTAACCTAATAACTGCGAATGAAGAGGACAAATGGAGACCTTACGAAGATTTGGCAGAAATCCGTAAAATGTCGTTACCCGACATGAAACCAATATGGGCCCTATCAAGAGAACCTGTTATTAGTGACTTTTTTCTTGGGCGCGTACCACAGGTAGGCTTTCCTCTTTTTGACCTAATATAATGAAAGCTCTCCTTTGTACTCGCATTGTTGATTTTTGTATGGTTTGACATCTTTATTACTTCATCATGGTAACTTTATTGAGGATTATCTATTCTCATATTCCTATAGTGTTGGTTTCTTAATTTGATTTCATTTATTATTTTCAAATTACCTTACACATGATTGCTCTGATGCAAAAGCTCTTGCAACCACATTGATTCATAATTGCGCTTGGATACGCATAAAGTTCTCTCTCATCCTTAAGTGTAAAGTTTATTTTACAATTTTTTTCCTCACTTACTTATTTTATTCTTTTCTACAGGAGTTATTTGAATTCCCTGAGTTGACATCCAAGACCAAAGTTCTCCAGCTTGATGGAATCTTTGAACACGTCTTGAAAACCCTGCTTTGCGGTAATATTTTTGGGGAGATTTCGAAATATATATGCGGTTGAATATCACATTCAGTACTGATATAGAGCTAGGTCCGCTTTTTGCGGATACTTTCATTTAGGGATTCTATACACTTCTTTCAATTTCCTATCCTCTATACTAATGCAGTTTTTGAAAGGGACATCTTTGGGTATTTTTACTCACATGCGCACGTGTTCTTATCTTATTTTTATATTTTTATATTCTAAACACGTAACTGGAGCCATTGATATACAAACCGTCTATATTAAATTTCGAAAAATACCTGACGATCTCATTGGATTTGGTTTTGGTTTTGGCTTCATCTTGTTTCTGCAATTTGATAGGGGGAAAAGGGGGAACTTATTGAACATACCCAGCCCTGCATCCTCTGCCATAGTATTCATGATACTTTCCAGCATTATACAATTGGGCTACTAGGTTCCCAGACGCTTCACCAGTATCATCAGTAAGAGGCGCCATATTTTGCACCATTACGGCATCTTACCTCCTTCCTGGAGCTAGGAGCTAAGACAAAGGAGAGAGATATCACAGCGGTTGCTTTAACTTGTCACTGATGTGTTGTAACTCGGGGTTAAGTATGACGTCTCTCATTGGGAATGCTGAGATAAAGTAAACTGCGACCAAACCAAGGCTACATCATTTAGGTCTTATCGTCATTTGATTTTGCTTAGCTTTGCTTTCTAACGGTCTTTTATCTTAAGTGGACTGCACTTTCGAACATATCTGGATCTCATAATTGACTCCCAAAGGATTGTTAGTCCGGTAGTCTGCTTCAAACAGCAATATTTTATTGTTGTGAAGGCTTTCATTTCGTATAAAAGTTCATGATGAAGAAATTCTTAGGTCGATCTCACCAGAAGACTAGAACCGATTCTCGTTATACTGCGGTTTGGCTCTGTTACGAAATTCAGGTTGCTTCACTCCATGAGGCATCCTCTTTCGTTTCGAGTGAAATGGGCTGATTTTTGATTCATCATAGAACGAGCATCATGAGAGCTGGGCCTCATTCTTCAAATTTTCAAGTTATCACTATGCCTA